TTTTGATTATTCCGTTTGGTTTGCGCTCGCTTTGATTAGAATTAGTATTTTTTTCTGATTGGAGAGGCTTAACCCTTCTGACCTGTTTTCGTGTAGGAAAATTTGCAAACTTGTGATGCGAAACAATGCGCGAAAATCGCATTTTCCTAAAAACCCCATTCGGAAAAGTCGTTAGTTAAGGGCTAACTAGAAAATTACCATTATCCTTTATCGTAATACCAATTTTGGTGGCTGTGTAACTCTGTACGTGCGTAAAATGAAGATCCATCTATGACCTTTTTGTTAAGCTGATATAAACTGACTCAGAGGGAAATAAATGGCCTTTAAAATAAATCTAAAAAAAGTTTTAAAAAAGTCATCAACATTTTTCCAGCAACGAAACTGAGTTACTGCGCCGGTGCCTTGGGTTGGCGCACCAAACCATTTGCACAGCACTGCTCCAAATCCTAAAAATTCACTGAGTTACCCAGGCTTGCCTTGTGCATCTCCTTAGCTTGCAATTTATTTGTTGTTTTCCTCTTTAGGTAGTTTCTCAAACTACACACTCAATCTGTACCTTACTCCATGCGTATTTTTCCTCTCTCTCATGTTGTGTGCCTTCTCCTTTCTGATCGTTCCTGTGTCTTTTCCACGAAAGAAAAGTTTCCACTATCTTCCTCCATCATTTTACCAAATTTTTGCCCACTTTTAACCACTTTCAAACTTTTGTCTCAGTTCATGTTCCCTCTTCTAGAGAACTACTGAAAATCAACTTTTAATTCAGGAAGCTAAGAATAGTTAGTAGATATTTGTGAACTTTCTACCAAAGATCCTCTTTTCGGTCAGACAGGGACTTGACTGCAATGTCTTCAGATTCCAGTCAAACTTGATCGGAAGTCAATCTTCGAAAAAACCGCGGAAGCAGGAAGCTGTAGATAAATGGTTTCTACATTTAATTGAATATATGTTCCATCCACCCACTCACTTCAAGCCAACCAATCATTTTTTTCTATACCCACGATCTGCGCACCTGCACGCTTCCAGCTATGCTCATTATACTCGTTCCCGATGATTTATAATCGAACTACAGAATGCCTTAATTGATAAACAATGCTGGGGGACGCAATAGAGTTCCTTGCTAGGTGCCAGCTAATGAGTCCCGTTAAATCGTCACCCCACCCTCAAGGCAACCGAAAAAACCATTCAAATTAGCCTAATGAATGCCATTTGCTGGCCGGTAAAAACAACTAACCCTCATTCGAATCGACAGCTCGATTTTGGCCGGACTTTTTAAAGAACCATACCTATAATTAGGGCTTTATCCGTGCCGGCCCGCCATACACTCGAGCCCATAAATTAAATAACATGAATTCGGCCCCTACGGCCCATTAGCCAGGCTGTATCTTCGCACATGTCTTCTGCATGTGTGTTGACACTGAAAACTGCACGCTACACATGCTGCAGACCTCAAACTTTTGGTCCTTCGAACGGGTTTAAATCGCTGAAGAGAGTGCCATTATTCTTAGCTTTCTATTGGAGCATTTTCTTCAATTTTTGCTTTTGCAAAGCGGGAGCTCTTAAACGAATGAACGGAAATTGGAATGGGCATGATAAATGGGGCTCTCAAGCTTGTGCTCTAAATGTAATTAACGAAACCTACATTGTCAATAAGATAAGTATTGAAAATGTATTTTTAAATATTCGGAAAAAATGCGAATAAACTCTCAACCGAGTGTTGACACAGCAATCCAGTCACTCGAAACAATGTATTTCCGTTCAATTGGATGCTTAGGGAAACCTTGGAAATATCAGCAAGACCATTACAAAGGCAGCTTGTTGCAACAAAGAAAATCCCAAATTTTCCTGCAAATTAAGTGTTGTGAAAAACTTGAAAATCACTTTAGAGTGGATAATTGAGCGTTCAAGTAAGCGACTTGAGTGTGCTGAGCGATTTGAAATAAACAACGTACTCACACCGGTTGAATGTGGCGAAAACACGAAAATCGGAACAAATTCCCAGTTGAATTACTCTAAAAGTTTCAATAATCAATAATGTGCGCGGAGAGTTTTAAAAGTGATGCCCAAATTTGTCTTGAACCAGCAATTTCATCTCTCAGTAGTTTCACCTCTAGCAAATGAAAATTAGGCCAGAACACCCTGTATTTTATGGCTCTATGAAATAGACGCTAGATATAAACATGTAAAAGCTGTTCGATTTTTGAACCACCGTGTATGGCATTAGTGACTATTTTAAATTTAAAAAACTAATCCTATCGGGAAAATAAGTGTAGAATTTATTGTTTTGAGGCCAAATTGGGCATCGCTTTAGAAATACTCTGTAAAACCTACCAAACCCATATGCTGAGAATTTACTTTAAATAAAAATTAAAATTAAGAAAGCAGGTCATTTTTTTTCACAGGTTTTCACAAAAAACTGTGTGACTGAGCACAATTTTAAATCAGACTCTTTCGATTGGTTGCAATTTTCGTGTGAAGCGTTTTTGAATAACTTTTGCAATAATAACGATATTTGGCCTGGTTCCTTGGCACACCCTGTATTAGGCCTGGGTAACTCAGTGATTTTTTAGGAGTCGGCGCAGTGTTACGCACATAGTTTGTTGCGCCAACCCAACGCACCGGCGCAGTAACTCAGTTCCGATGCTGTGAAAATGGTGTTGACTTTTTTACTTGTTTTTCGATTTACTTTAAGAACCATTTATTAATAACGTTTTTAAAATTTTAGAATTTTCGAGTTTTAGACAAGAGGCAACTCTTTCTCCTAAATGTTCAAGTTTCTAAAGTTTCACTTAGAAACGCAATATTGAGGTATTTTCCGCCAAAAATGATGAAATAAATTTCGAATCCTTCCTCGCTTTGTAAAAAGTTTTGAAATCCCTTTCCAGCTTCAAATTTGGAACAAAAATCAAATCATTTTCTATCAAAAAACGAACAGAATAAGCGAAAGTTTATAACAGATTATTTAGAAATCTCGGCAGCTGCATACCTTTGAAGACTGTAGCGTTTGTTGAAAAATGTGGTTTTTTGGTTTTGACTGATTTTTTTTGCTTTACTTTCTACTTAAAGCGCTCTATTTTGTAGAGATTCACTCAAAAATACTGACGATCAGAAGGTCTTTTACGCGAAAAATATAAATTCGAAATTCGAGTAGATAAATTTATATCTTTGTAAAAATTATACAAAACTTTTTTCACCATCGAATTCGGGACAAAAACGAAAATAAATTCCTCCCGTTTTTTCCCGCAAGTCAAAAAAGCATTATTTTCTGATGATTTTCTTATTTTTTGACAATAATGTCTTCAGCCAAAAATTACATAATAAATTTTGCTGGAAAATTAGCCTCATTCATTGGCTTTTTTTTTGGAAAGAAGAATTTGGCACAAAAACCAAATAATTTTAACTCATTTTTTTACCGAAAGTAATTAGGATTATCTTGAAAAGTCGACCAGAGAGCAAAAGTTTTCAGAAAAGTATTTAGAAATTTTGCCGCTCTCATCGCTCTGAACATTGTTCCTTTAAATTTTCACGTCATTCCAGTCTTAACAAAGTTTCTATTAAGCAATTCTTTCTACGCAAAAACCGAATTATTTTTTACTTAAAATACTGACATCTTCAGATATTTTCTGTGAAAAATGTTAAGATAAATTTTATTGAAACCCTCGCCACCTTAACCACTTTGCAAAAATTTTTCGAAAACGTTTTGCAGCTTCGAATTATGCACAAAACCCTAATCATTATTTCTGGGTCTTTTTCCAAAAATATTTCCCCGAACTGAAAAAGCGAAAGTTTATAATAATTAATTTGGAAACCTTTCAAAACTGGAGTTTCTTCACTTTTAGGTCAATATTTCTAAGCAACACTGCCTAAACAGAAAAGCCACGTTTTTTCCTAACGTTTTACTGCAAAATACTGGCAAACTGAATCTTATGCCTAAAAATAAAGAGATCAATTTTACAAGGAGACTCGTCGACTTCCTTTGGACTCAGTTCGGTTGCTGAAAAAATCTAGATGACTTTTTTTAGTTGTTTGAACAAAGTAGTAAAACGTTACTCAGAGAAAATATTGATTACCTTTTTGTAGATGCGAAAATTCTAGTCTCGGGTCTCGTAAAGCTTTAATAAATGACTTATAACTCATTAACCGATAAGTTATACCTCGTTAACTCAGAGAGCGGCAACAACTCAATAGCGCAACTCAACACAGTATTGCCTGGGCCTACCATAAACTCTATAAATATTCTCGTTGACTTAAAAGTATTATTCAAAAACCAGTAGGTTTAACTAATCAGTTCAAGCCAAATCTCGAATGTACACTCTGTCTGAATGTTTTTTGGATTACAGAAAGCTCTGTAGAAGAGAACTTAACCTTTAAAATACACAAATGTTTATAGAAAGTGTCTCTAGCTAAACTGAAAAGTGGTAAACCGAGTGCTTTTATCCAGTCAGTGTAAACAATATTCTATTGTAAACCCTTTCTGATTACAGAAAGCTCTATAGAAGAGAACTTAACCTTTAGAGGTTAACTGTCTAGGTAAGCTAAAAATTGGTAAGCCAAGTGCTTTTAGCAAATCAGTTTAAATAATTTCTCAATAAACATTTTGTTGCAAACCCTTTCTGATTAGATAAAGCATTTTCTATAGAGAAAAGAACATAACTTCTTAAAACACAATTGGTTATCAAAATGTGTGCAGTTAAAGCACGTAACCTTTAAACAACACAAGTTTTTATGAAAATTGTCAAAATTGTGCATACGTGGTATATTTCAGAGCCTTTTTTAATACTCCCAGACCAATTTGCCTTGTTTTGGCGAAAAATTCCAGTTAAAAAAAACAAATAATATAAAGTAATAAAATGAACTGGTGATTTTTTTAATTTATTCCAGTCAGGCAGGCACTTGAAGAATAAGACCTCTCAGTCCCAGCCATTGAAGATCCGAAATTCCGAATGTCTGCACCTACTCGAAAGATAACCTATCATCCGAATTCTCTTAAATACATACTCGACGTTCCACTTTCAAGAGAATCGCCCTATTACTATTAAAACAGGGATATTATAGTAGCGGAGTGGGCGACAAGGATGCCGAAACGCCGCCGATGCAGGTAAGACGGAGATAAAATCTGTTCATCTTATCGCCCTAATGTAAAGTGTCGCTCTTTGTCCAAAGTAAATGGGCGGCTACAAGGTCTGCATTGGCTTAGTTCTTCGGTTTAATTCTGACGGCTGCTCGTCGAGTCCACGTTGACTCCACACAGGCCAGGAGTTTACGGATTTTTCAAAATTCAATTATTTTCTTATTAATTATTTTCATTTCAAAGTTTCCCAGTTGTTGCATTAAAATATACATCAAGCCCATTTGTCGGTCTTTTTATGTATATTTGGTTCAAAATCAGTACAAAACAGCCCGGTTTTTTTCACTGAGTACTGGAAAAGACTGATCCGACAAAACAGCAATCAGAACTTCAAATTTTCACTTTAAACATTCTGAAGATCTACCGAAATCCAACTTTTGCAACGCAAAATTCACACTATTTAATGCTCGAAACTGGCGAGTTCGTTGCTTTGAACTCAAAAAAGCCTTATTAGAACATAGAACATTAGAACTCAGTTTTTGGTTGACAACCTTATGATCAAGGCCTTAATTTGAACTCTTGAACTTGAGGTTCTTAAGTCCATTTTGAGGTCCCTAACAAATGGGCGAGTCGGAAACAGAATTTTTTTCTGAACTCCAAACCAACCAATGCTGCCAACACCAAGTTTCCGTTTGAAACTCGACCGTTTCACTTTTGAAGATTACTCAGCTTTGGACTCAAAATTTATCGTTCAATGGATAAGTTGAAATTTCAAGTTTTAAGGTCCATAAATCCATTGTTAAATCCCTAAGAAAGATGTGATTTGGAAGCGGAAGTTTTTTTATATTTAACATAAAACTACAGTTGGCAACATGAAGATTCCTTAACTTTGATTTGCACAATTAAGAATTTGACATGAAATTCGCATTTTTCCTTGAAAATTTGCACTTTAAACCAGAAATTTCAACTGGTTTTAAATTTCCATTAACAAATCGATATTCGCTTCTCGTACCGAAGACGAAGATTTCTTTTAATTCTTCGGATAGTAAATGGAGACTTTGGAAGGAAAATACCACTTTGGGCAGGGAATTTCGACTTTAAGTTCACAAGATTGTTTTTAGAGTTTTAGAATTTTAGAGAGGAAACTCTTAATCAAAACTCGCGAAACTTGATTTAAACTCGCAAATTTAACCCAGCTTTGACCTAATTATGTATTCGAAACACAAAACACGCCAGTTTAAAGAAACTTAACTTAAAACATGCAATTTTTACCTCGAACTCAAAAGATTCGTCCCGGATTATGAAACTTGTGCTTTAAACTCGAAGGTTCGATTGAACTTGATTGATCTGAACTCACAAGTTCAGCTGTAACCTTTAGATTTCCACTTAGAAAAAGGTTTACATTTTTGGTCTTTTCAAAGAAATATTCAAGTTTATATGAGAAAATTCCATAAACTGGAAATTCTAGCCTTGTTTTAGAATTTAAATTTTCATTTGAAAACTCATTGAGTTATGAAGATGTCAGTTTTGAACTCAAACGGTTTCCATCTACTTCAAATTCTAAATAGATTTAACTGAAAATATCGACTTGATTCACATTTTGAATTGAAAATTTGAACCTAAAGCCCGGAATTTCCACTTATAATTCGACATTCTCGTTACGATAACAATGGAAACTCTAGCTGGGAACTTTTTGATCCGAAACATTGGATTTTGAGCGCAGCATCTTAGCAAGCTACAATTTCGTCTTAAAACTGTTCAAGATTCTACTTACAATACAAAAATTGAACTTCAGTTTGAAAAATCATCGCTTATTAGGAGATTGAAATGATGTAGGAAAGAGAAGGTTAGAACTCACATTCATAAGAGTCAAATTGGCCCAATTCATGCCTTTCATCGGTGAATGTGTAGACTCTGAATTTGAATTTCAAAATGTTTACTTTTTTTACTCTCAGCTTTATAAATTGCGGAGATTGAGCACGAAGTTTGGACCCTCAATTGTCACGAATTTGCATTTTTTACTCAAGAAGTCAACTTCAAGTATTCTGAATTTAATTGTTCATTAAGCTGGCAGACAAAGCAAAACGCGTATTTCTGGATCGGAATGCAATAAAATGAAAAATGGTTCACTTTGGAACTGTAAAATTGATATTCAACTCAAAAGATTCCACTGTAAATATTTCTTATTTTGAAGTATTCTCGAGCATTTCATACATAATGTTAGAAACTAATTTTCTTTATTGTCGATAAGGTTTGGGAAATAAAATCGCAGTTTTCATTTTGAATTGAACATTTTAACTGAAAACACGCATTTTTACCTCAAACTCAAAACATTTTTCCCAGATTATGAAACTTCTGCTTCAAGCTCGAAGATTGAATTGAACATGGTTGGACTGAACTCACAGGTTCATCTGCACTTTTCGTATTTCCACTTAGAGGAAGTTGCATTTTTTGGTATTTTAAAGGAAACTTTCAAGTTTGAAATTATGAAAATTGCTTAAACTTGAAGTGCTGGCTTGAAGTCCATTTTCCACTGGAAATTATTGCTTTCTTTGAAAACTTTTGTAAAAACCTTTTCCCCCAGCATTTGTCGACACCAAATTCTCATTTTAAATTTCCCTCCCTGTGAGTTTTCTTGAATTTGCATTTTTTTGCAAAATTCAACTTTAAAGGTTCTCACCTTAAATGTCCGTTACGTTAGTATACAAAAACTTCTGTTTTAGGTACGAGACTCGAATTTCACTTGGTTCACTTTTGGAAAATCGATTTTGAACTCAATTTTCTTCAAAAACTTTGAAACTTTGAAACCCAAAATTGGAAACCGTCAGTGGGAACCAAAAGATAATCCTTTGCGTGGATTGCTTGAAACTGATCAGTTTTTCGGTCGTTGCTAGCAAAACTGCCTTCCTCATCTTCATTTTCACTTTTATCCTCATACGTGTTGCGTACTCAGTCCAACTTGGACTCGACTCGAGTTGGAATTTAAAAAAATCGAAATTTCCATTCAAAACGTGCCAGTTTTATTGCAATTGTCGCCAGTTGGTTGAAACTAGTGCCATAGAAGCAAATCACCTGGAGTAGAAAATCTGCACTTTATGCATGAAAAATTTGAATTTGCACCTAAAACCTTCAAGTTCACACTCTCAAAGCATCCAACACAATTGTTCAGTGAATGAACGTTGCTATTAGTGAAAGAAAGCAATCCAAACACCGTAAGCGTAAATGGAGCGAGTTGAACGCACCATTAGCTCTTTATTGATGTTGTTTTAATGTGGTTGCGCCGGCTGGATGCGGTCCTGGCCTTTACACAACTTTAATCCTTCTCACTTTACGCTTTCTGGGGGCCCCTAATGCCGTTTCGGTTTATAAAGGACCCAAACAAAAAGGGCCCGCTTCGACGGCGGATACGAGGGAAAAGAGACAGAGAAGTAATCTTAAGGAACTGGAATTTGCAGTACGATTTTCATCTTTTCGGAACGCTTCGAGCATGTACTTATCGTCAGGACGACGAAGGGCCGGTCTTTGGGGATTTGTCTGATTATTTATAAATACTTTTTCTTCCCTCGTTGCGGTAAAGTGGCGCCTGGGAGGTCTGGATGACCGTTTTTCAATAAGCCACTTGGGCTCAAGTCGAGCGACTAAATCGTCTTGGATGTGTTGAATCGAATCAGCCACGCAAATTCAGTCCAATAAAGTAAAAATTATTTTCTCAGTTTAAAACTGGACAAGCTCTAATAAACTGAAACGATTTGTATACAGATCCGGATTGTTTTGAATCGTAAAACCGCTGTAAAGTCTCAATAAACGGTAGCGGGAACAGCTGATGTAAACCGCCCACGCCGGAAGAACTCGTTCAATTAACGGCGGCAAACAAACGTTCGCCTGCGGGCTTAAAACAAACGAAAATCCTGGAAAAACATCAGAGTGTTCAGTTTTCAGTTGGTTTTAGCTGCGTTTACATCGGGCTTTTCAGCACAAAGCAAACTAAACAATCGAGGAATTTGTAGATACTTTTACGCGACATGCTGTGCTTGTTAGCTAAATAATCCTATGAAGGCTTTATTTAAAAAAATCCCCAGGAACATTCTTTAAGTGTTATTAATTTCTCGCTTCTTGTTTTTAATAGAGGGCCCCTGGGCGAATTAACGGTGCAACCTTTACGTATCTGGCAACTTTCTCCCATTTTTGATGCAACGAGAAAATTTAAGCTGCCAGTCGAGAAGGTGGCGAGTGAGCAGGCTATCTTCCAAAAGTGCAAAATTGGAAAATATGCACCGTCGCTTGATGGGTCGCCTTGTAAGGAAAAGTTGGGTTGGCGAGTTCTGAAAATTGCACTCAATTTGCAATATTGTCGGATTTCTCAGAAATTTAAAACAGAAACGCAGTTGAGCTTTTTTCAAGAATTCACCAGAAACAGACTAGAGTTTAAAGAAATATGGGTGGTAACGCCTCTTGTAGCCTCTTGTAGAGACAGCTTGGGTTTAAGCAGTGGGCAACTTGGGCAAGTTACAAAAATTTTATTCAATTCCCTTTTTTCATGACTCCCGTATTGAAAGCAGGGGCTAAAATCGATACGAGCTCAGTGGACACGGTATTTTCAAAATTTCAAAATTTCAAACTAAAAAATCTCTGAAGCTTGAAAATTGTTTTTTAATTCATTTAATAGAGAAAATGTGGATCTGTGGGCTCTAAAAACATTCACGCAATGAATAGCAATTTGCTCGGATTTTTGATGGCTTGAATAGCGAAGTTGTAAATTGGTTAGAGCGCACTGGACACTTTCTTTTCAATAATTTCTAAGAAGCAATCTGGAGCACCCAGAAAAATTGCAATAGAGTAAACCTATCTATAAAAAGTGAATACATTTCCTTTAACTAGGATTTTTATTTTCGATGTGTCCCGTATTGAAAGCTGAACCTAAATTGGCAAGCGTCCAATGAGCACAGTGTTTGAAAAAATTCCAAGTTCCAAAAAAGTGAAAACTACAGTGTTGATTTTATTAGTTCATTTATTAAAGTTACTCGTTTTTCTGAACTCTGTAAAGTGCACTCAATTTTGAGTTAGTCAGAATTTTTGACGGATTAAAAACCGGAGCTGTAAGTTGAGCAGAGCTCAGTCGACACTCTCTCTGCAAAAATGGATAAGAAGAAAACTAGAGAATAAAAAAATATAAGAGTTAATGCACTGAATAGACAAACCGAAAAAGGATTGAAAAATTATTTTTCCATGTTTCGCTCATTGAGCTGAAAGCAGAGCATCTAAAATCGACACGAACGAATGGACACGGTATTTTCAAAAATTCCAAAATAGAAGACTATTTAGTCTTGAAAATTTCTTTGAACTCTAAAAAATTCACCCAGTTTCCAATTTGCCAGGAATATTGACGGATTGAAAACCGACGCTGTAGTAGTAAACCCCCGCAAAGTAGGGAATTAACAATTTGCATTTTACTCGAATTTTTGAAGAAGCTAAAATAGGCAAAAGTCCAATTGACACGCTATTTAAAAAAATTCGAAACTCGAAAACTTAAAAAGCCAAATTCTTATTTCTAAGTTCATTCGAGAGAAAATACTTGCGCCTGTAACCTATGAAAAGGTTTTGTGCTCAATTTGCATTTTCTCGGATTTTTGAGGGATTGAAAACCGAAGGTGAAAATTGGCTACAGTACAGTGGACACATTATTTTCAAAAATTCCTCAGAAATACACTAGCCAAAAATACACAAAATATAGACTTTTGTGCATTTAATACAAAAAACGTGACTTTACTTATCGTAAAAAATTCAATCAAATTACAAATTGGCTTTCGATGTTTTTCGTATTGAGACAGAAACCAAAATCGGCAAAAGTCTCAATAGACACGCTATTTAAAAAAATCCAAAACTCGAAAACTACAAAAGCCAAATTCTTGTATCTCAGTTAATTCGATACAAAATACTTATGCCTGAAACCTATAAAAAGGTTTTATGCTCAATTTGCATTTTTCTCGGACTTTTGAGGGATTAAAAACCGAAGGTGAAAATTGGCTACAGCGCAGTCGATACTTTCTTTTCAAAAATTCATGGGAAACAAACTAAGGAAATAATAAATATAGACTGTTGCGCATTTAAAACAAAAATCTTGACTTTACTGATCGTCAAAAACTCACTCACATCACAAATCGGTTTTTGACGTTTTTCGTATTGAAAACAGAAGCTAAAATCGGCAAAAGTCCAATGGGCAAGCTATTAAAAAAAATCCGTAACTCGAAAAATACAAATGCCAAATTCTTGTTTCTTAGTTCATTCCATGGAAAATACGTGTGCCTGTCTGTAGCCCATAAAAATGTTCTCACTCAATTTTCTTTTTTTTCAGATTTGTGAGGGATTGGAAACTGAAGGTGAAAATTGGCTAAAGCGCAGTCAACACAGCAACACAGCAAAAATTCCTCAGAAATACACTAAGGAAACAAGAAATATAGACCTTTGCGCGTTTAATACAAAAAACTTGACTTTATTAATTGAAAAATTCTCTCAAATCACAAATTGGATTTCGATGTTTTTGGTATTGAAACAGAAGCGAAAATCGTCAAAAGTCCGGTAGACACGCTATTTAAAAAAATCCGAAACTCGAAATCAGCAAAAGCTAATCACTTGTATCTTAGTTCATTCGATAGAAAATACTTGTGGCTGTAAGAAGGTTCCCGCTCAATTTTAATTTTTCTAGGATTTTTGAGGGTTTGAAAACCGAAGCTGGAAATTCACCACAGCACAGTCGACACTCTCTTTTTAAAAAAATCCTAAGAACTAAACTAGGAAACGAATAAATGCATACTTTAATGAATTTTTTAGGAAAAGTTTGGGTTTATAAAAGCTGAAAATATGTCTGCTCTTTTTTTATATTTCCCGTATTAAAACAGAATCAATCCAGAGTCCAATGAACACAACACTCCAAAAATGTTAAACTAGAGTCTCATATGAGATACGGATTTGCTTTCTGTCTAAACGCTGAAAATTTCAGCCAATTGGCAATTTTTTTCTGGGTTTTGACCGGTGGAAAACCGGAGCGGTAAATTAGTTAGAGCATAGACTTTTTCTTAGAAAATTTTTGAGAACTTAACTAGGTGATGCCGAAAGTTAGGCTTTCGCGTATTTAATAGCGAAACTATGAGTTCGGCTATATGTATGCTGCCGATACTATGAGTATCATATGGATTTTATTTTTTGTTAGTTGACTACAGAAAGCCTGGCTGTAGAAACTTAAAAAAATCCAGTCAATTTGTGATTTTCCTAGATTTTAACGGGTGGAAAACGGGAGCGGTAAATTGGTTAGAGCGTAGTTAAGACTTTTTCTTCAAAAAATTCCTCCGGACTGAACCAGGCTATAAAGAAATTTAAATTTTTGTGTATTTTTTAATCAAAGTATGGGTTTATAAATGCAAAAAATTTAACTGCACTTCTATGTTGATTTTCGATGGTTCCCGTATTGAAAGCAGAAGTTTCAATCGGCAAGAGTCGAATGAACAAATATTTTTAAAAGATCGAAACTGGACTATCCTAAGAGCTACGGATTTGTTTTTCTATTAGTCCAATAGAGAAAACCTGGCTGTAGAAACTCTAAAAATTCACTCAATTTGTGATTTTTTCTAGATTTTGACGGGTGGAAAACTGGAGCGGTAAATTGGTTAGAGCGTAGTCAAGACTTTTTCTTCAAAAATTCCTCCGGGCTAAACTAGGCGGTAAAGAAATTTAAATTTTCGTGTGTTTGTTAGGCAAAGTATGGGTTTATAAATGCAAAAAATTTTACTGCACTTATATTTTGGGTTTCGATGGTTCCCGTATTGCATGAACACAATATTTTTAAAAGATCGAAACTGGACTATCCCAAGAGCCATGGATTTGTTTTTCTGCTAGCCCAATAGAGAAAGCCTGGCTGTAGAAACATTAAAAAATTTACTCAATTTGCAATTTTTCCTGAATTTTTACGGGTGGAAAACCGGAGTGGAAAACCGGCGCTGCCGAGACTTTTTTTCAAAAATTCGTAAAAGGTAAAGTAGATAATTAAGAAACATTAATTGGCATGACCTGAATTTTACGTATTGTTAGCCGGAGCTTAATACTAGAGGAAGGCACAATAGATAGGTACGTGATTTTTTTTTAATTCCTTGAAACCGCCACACAGTGCAGTATTTGATACTAATTGCTGATCAAACTTGTGAACTAATTATTTATCTCCTAAATTCGTCTGAAAGTAAAAGAGAAAAACGCAATATTTTATTATTTAATATTTTAAACCATAAGCAGAAATCTACACATACAGTGTGTTGCAAAACTCCTCAACATATGGACAAATGGGAAACTTCTTCATTAGATATTAATTTTTCAATAAAAAAAAATCTTCAGTTTGAGCTTTTAACACCAAGTGAGCACAGTATAAATAATCTGGAATAAACAGGCTTGAAGACTTTAATTTATCGAGATATAAAATCAAGCTGTTAAAACTTTAAAATTATACCCAGATGCCAAATTTTAACAAAATAGCTTGAATTTTTCAAAATTTACCATTTTTCGTTCTTCTTCTTTAAACAGGACGCCACTTTTAATCTACTTTAAAAAAGTTGCACTATCAGCTAAATTGTCAACGCAGAGTTCGATTTTTGATCAGTTTGATCAATAACCCAATGGAAGACGCTGGAAATGTACTAGATCTCAATAAACACGTTAATTAAAAAAAAAGTGTAGTATAAAATCTAGATCCACTGGAACATCGACAGAGAAAACATTCTTCTATTAACCCTCAAAATGCTGACTGCTCATTGGATAAGAATGGTAATTGAGATCCAAGAAAAGTTAAAATAATGAAAACAGTAAAAATTTATTCATGAAGGAACCCAAGAAAATAATGTGGTTTACAATGTTATAATTTTGCGGAAACAGCAGTTAAGCGAACAAATAACATGTAATTAAATGGTACAACTATAAGAGATCAGCAGTTGGGGAATTTCCGGTATTTGAAAATCTATCTGTTGTCTTTTTCTGAATCCCACAATTTTGTTTTATTTATTGGACGTTAAACATCCTTTTCCAAGTGGCTGATTTTTCAAAATTGGAACACACTTGACATCATAATCTCGCTATGTCTAGGCGCACTGAATAGACCAATTCAGTTTACATGCGTTGGAATTAGTTGACTATTCGATAATCGCTTTATTGTCGAAACGGAACGAACAGTGAATTAGTTTCTATTAAATTGAATAGTTGTGTGGATCCGGTCTAATCCCACTAAATGTTCAAGCTTTATCAGCAAAAATGAGACGAATTTTTTTTTTTTTGCGTTTTTAGTAGACAAACTACACTTTAATGCAGCCATTTATAAATATGAATCCGATTATCGCCGTTGGTTTTTAATACATAAATAAATTCTACAATATATTGTTTGAGGATTTTTCAGATTTGTTTTATAATCCTGGCCATTTTCTAGTTTCCATCCTCTTGACGTTCGAAGTTGAAAATATACTCACATTGTAGATGATTCTTTTACTAACAATTTTTTTTGTGTGGGAAATGTGGTTCTCCGCCACTTTGCACTCATTCAAATTATAATCTTCTGCACACTGAGTGTGACAAAAATGTCGCAAGAACAATAATTTCCAAGTTTTTCTGGAAACTTGAAGTATTAATCAATATCGCAATAAATACTTTGATTAAATGGGATTATTCAGTTTGTTATTGCGCTTAGTAATTCCAATTTATCATTGCCCCATGTATGGGTATTGTAAATCTAGCGACAATCAGTAGGTATTTGAAGTAGGTGCTTTCAAGATCTACTACGCGCTTAAGTTGGTGCGAAGGATTAGCAGCAAATATATATATTTTATATTTTTTCAGTGGCCAAATAAAATTCCCACTTTGATTGCACAATTTCATTTATGACGCACATCAATTTGCTTATAGTAAAGACTACACGCCCTTCGCTCATCTAGAATATAGAATATCCCCTTAAAGTTTAGTAGATTAAAATTGAACCACTCTGTATACGTCTAACACGTGACCACAAGGAAAGCTTGATGCATATTATATTTATTATACATACATTTCAGCTTCAAGTTTTGAAGAGCGCCATTTAAAAGCTAACCACAAATGCGCTCTAACTATGACGTTTGTCAACGAGTATCTGTGTGTTTTTGATTGGGTTCGTTTAGGTTCGTTTTGGTTGTCATTATGAACACGAAAGTTTCATTACATTATAAAAATTGTCTACTTAGTTTCTTCGCAAAATGTACAGTTTGGATCAGTGTGGTTTTCTTTGGGTTCTTTTAGCTTTGTTTGGGTTAGTTTGGCTACCTTTGGGTTCTGTTGAGATTGTTTGGACATGTTTGGATCAATTTGGGTTTCTTTGGGTTCGCTTGAATTAGTTTGGGCTAGTTTGGGTTAGTAGATTTTTTTTCAAGTGAATGTCGAATTGAAAAATGTTTTTTTTCGAAAACACAACGGTTTTAATTTTATTTTCGTTTAATCAAAAACATTTAACCAGAAAAAAATAAAATAGCTTTTTTCATTCTAACTCAATGAAGAAATTGAAAATCATTGTATTTACAGAGAAACCATTGGCGGGCGGTTTTTTTTATGGAAAGTATCAAATGTTACATATTGCAGTAATTTTCCTTTGCAAAGCAGAGGTTTTTTACTTTTTCGGAGAAAATTGTGTGCATTTAAACAAAAAACCCAATAGAGCTTTTTTGTTCCCAACTAAATGGAGAATTGAGACGGTTTTATTTGCCGAAAAACCACTGGCGTGCAGTAGGTAATTTGGAAATTATCGATTGATAAATATTGGGCTCATTTTCTGGGTCAATGGAACGGTTTTGATTTTTTAAATCAAAAACTGTGCATTTAAGCAAAAAAATTAAAAATAGCTTTTTAGTTCCCAACTGAATGTTGAATTTAAAAAGGATTGTTATTCGCACAAAATATACTGGCAAGCTGTGATTTTTTCTTGAAGCTCTAAAATGCCAAATATTGTAGTAATTTTATTGGACCATGCAACGATTTTGATTTTTTGAATCAAAAACTGTGCGTCTTATCGGGAAAACTCAAAAGACATTTTGTCTTCTCAACTGAATGCGGAATTTAAAAATTATTTTTATTTACAAAATAACCTTTGGCGTGCACCGTTTTGTTTCTTTGAAAGATACCAAATGGTAAATATCGTAGTAGTTTTCACGGACAATAAACCGCTATAATTTTTTTAACAATAACTGTGTGAATTTTGGCTGAAAAACTCAACCGAGATTTTTGTTCTCAACTGAATGTGGATTTTGAAAAGAGTTTTTATTTGCTGAAGCGACACTGGCGTACTCTGCATATTTTCCCGTAAATTATCGAATGGTTAATATTGCGATTATTTTCGCAGTCAATGGAACGGTTTTAATTTTTTTATCAAAAACTGTGCATCTAAGCAAAAAAGTTTGAAAGAGCTATTTTATTCCCAACTACCTTTAGAATCCAAAAATAATTTTTATTTTCGGAACGCCCATGGGAGTGTACTTTTTTTCTAAGATTTATGACACTGGACAATACAACGGTTTCAATTTTTTTCGTCCAAACTAAATGTCGAATTTAAAAAGAATTTTTATTTGCTGAAATACATGGGCGTGCTCTATTTTTTTGGACATTTTCGAATCTTTAATATTCCGATAATTTCCTCATTCAATACAATTGTTTTTATTTTTTACTCTCAAACCGTGCATTTTAGCGAAAAAAACTGGAAACAGCATTTTTTTGCGAACTGCATGTAGAATAAAAATATAATTTTTATTTGCCAAAAAGATACTAGCGCGCTCTGTTTTCTTTTCTTGAAAGTTCCTTTACATTCGGAAACCAA